TTACTGCAATATATTCCTTCTCATTAGTCTCTGTAGCAAAATAAAGGCAAAAACCAAACAAACTCTAAAATAGAAGGGATCTTTTGTGGGTCTCAGTGATGAAAAGAGTAGAAATATTCACCGCATTATTCGTATTTTCCAAGTCAAAAAAGAACAATAGTGCAGTCAGAGGGGAACACTTGGCATTGCAAGTATTTTTGCCATTGGAAAGACATGAGGAATCCTGAGGTGAGGAACGTCTGCATTTGGTGACACCTGTTCGACCCTGGTAGCACAAATTCCAATAAAACGTAAAGTATGAATAGACAGATGTAAAAAGGCTCTTGAGCTGACCACTTCTGCCATTTCATTTTGAGGAAGAACAAAATCCCAAATACTCAAGAACTCCTTCATAGCTACCTCTCCACTTTCTCAGTGAACAATACCAGATGTTAAACTGCCACTGAACAACGAGACCTGAAAAAGCCTGGCCACAGTCAGAATTTCTCATGCAGAGAAATCATACTGTGGTTAAGATGTTGCATTACCTCAAGCTGACAAAACCGAGTCAGCTTTACCCATGCTGCAAGATCACAGAGCCCAAAGCAGGTTATGTAAACCACCCCAAAAGCTGGGGGAATACACAAGCAGTTGTGTCCACACTGTGCTCTGTACTGCTGCAACTGTGGAGCTCTCAGTACTAGCAGCAGCTTGTACAAAGCCAGTTGTAGAATGAACCACAGTTCCGTCTTGGCCTGCAGCATACCCATACCCTCTGCCTTAAAACTAATCTCATGCTCTCTATATTACTGCCTTATCATATCTGCTTCATTATTACCATTTACCCTTGCAATGTTCCTTTCTCCTGTTTTGGGGGGAGATTTCTGTTTGGATTTTTTTTTTTAAGAAATGAATTATTTCAGGCATTTTAAATAGTGCTTTATTTCCCTGGATTGGTAACTGTGACACCCAGGAAAGTTCAAGGATTCTAGGCTGAAAGTCTCCTGGTTCTACCCGCTGAAGAAAGCTTCTTTCATGAAACATTTAATAGATCATTACCTGAAATGATTAAGCATCAACAGCAACACCCACTGCTCCTCCCCTCAAAATAGTTTTGAAGTTACAATCTAACATCTTCAAGAACTAGAAGCTGAATACCTTAGCTGATGGCTTATAAAGAAAGAGAAACAATACATGACAAGCAACTGTGAATTCCAAGTCTATAATTGCACTAGGAGGTTTCAGTGATACATCACGAGAATGAATCTCAAGTAGCTATTATTTAAAGCACCTTTTGTTTTCTAAATGCCACTGAAGCAGGGCTTTTCACAGTTTTACTAGGGTAAATTTTTCTATGGAATAGAACAAATTGATCTACATTAAACTTCAACTAAACTTCAGGGAAAACAGTTGTTTTGAGGAACATCACATCCAGGAATTCAGTGGCATGGCATAATACCAGTAAATGTCAAGATATCTGGGGTCTGGCTGTATCTGCTAGTGTGCCTAGCTATTTCTGATCCATTGGTCAGTAAATCTAAAATGTTTTCTTGATAGATCTTAATGAATTTTCTGAAATGAAACTGTAGCGTTGAAAGATTATGTACTAAACCAGGAGAGCTAGTCTTTCGTAGGCTTTTTCAAAGTGACCATTTGTAGCTGCAGGTGATGTTGGTCCTATGTAAATGTCTAACTGTCACTTGCACCTGTGTAGGCTCTTGCCTCATGACCAGCTGAGTTCTGCAGGCTCAACAGATGCCACAGCACTTTTTTTATCATTTTACATTGAAAATCTTGTAATGTACTTGGCTGTATCCTTCCTTCTGTATTATCTGGAGAAAAAGAAAAAAGAAGAAAGAAAAAAAAAGGCATAGTCCACTAATCTTCATGGGCTGGAATTACATCTCCCAAGACTATCTCAAAGCTAGGGAGCTACTTAAAGTTAGTCAGATAGGGTCCTCCTATTGCCTTAAGGAAGAAAGAGGTACACTCATAAGGCTATTCCTTCCTCCTCAAGATAACGTAAAACGTAACTAGGCTGAAGATATGTTTCTTGACACGGTGCTTTAGACTGTATTTTTCTGTCCAGAGGAAACAAGTAAAACTGACTCGTTAGTATGCAAGTTGTCTAATTTCAAGGTTCTTCTCACTTTGTAGAATAAGTTGTTCTGATTTATCTTGCTGCTGTAAGATCCTGCTGTTGTAATGCAAGTTGCCCTCCAGCTTTTTAATACATCACAGACCACACAGTGGTAGAGCCAAGAAAAGCACTGCTTTCAACTACTTCCTTACTAAATTATACATTTATTGTAAATGCCACTAACTTTTGAGAGACTTACAAAAATATTGTGTGTTTTTCTACATCATTTAGGCAAGGTAATATCAATGGATTATTATTTTATATTCAAAAATTAAAGATTTCATTTTGCTGTATGTCTATCAAACTCAAAACAAATTCTATCTCACAACCAATACAATTGCAGGTCCTTCATATATACAGGCGTACTTGGAGGCGCACCAGAAAGAAATCCATTCAGTGGCAATCTTTTTGATTGAGGAAGAACCATCCCTAGCAAAACTGGTTTTGTATTGCTTGATTCCTTATTTCACATGAGATAAAAACTGGGAAGCCCTTGTCCCTTGCACTCAACAGCACATTAGTACTACAAACATCACCCTCATAGCAATCAACTTCTAGTAAGAATAGTTACAACTGATCCCAAGGGAAGGAGAATGAAATACGGCGAGATGCTGAAGACCAACATATGGCTTAAGAACTGGCACTAGGAGAAAGATTTTGGACGTCCAATTCCTAGAAAATATTCACAGACCTGGGACCCTTCTTGCCAGATGGATAATTCCCAAAGTATACGGGGTGTCTGACCTTTAAGAAGCCTGGCAGGACTGATAAAAGTGTTAAGCTTAGAGAAGAAGTGAAAAGAATGGAAAAGACTTGACTTGTAATCTTCATGGCTAGTTTAAGAATACAGAAAAAGAATGAGATAAACAAGGATACAAGATTATCAGAAGACAGGAAGAGGTATGTGAAGGAGAAATGAAAACTCTATAGGAGTGAAAATTCCCACAGCTAATATATTAGAAAATGCATTTAAAATTAGATAGACTAGATAACTATCATTCTAGAATTTAAGAACTGAAATTATAGATCCATCAGCAAATATTTTATACCTCTCTGAGTTTGTGATGTTAGATGGAGAAATAGCAAATGTCATTCTTTTATTTAATAAGGGAAAAGTAATCTAGGTCCTACAGTCTGACTGCAATGACATAAGAGACTTTGAAACAAGTTCTGAAGGAAAAGAAATTAAAGGTATGCTAAATAAAAAGGAAATATAACAGGACATGGGTCAACCAAATGTAGACTGCATCAAACTATTATCTTTTTTGATAATGAATCCGGTTTTCTACATAAAGGGAACACTATAGGTCTCATTTATTTGAACTTAATTAAAGCATCTCACAAGGACACATGGGAAATTATTGCTTAAACTAGAGAAGATTGGTAGGAGTAGAAAAATTCTAAGGCATATAAAGGATTGGTTATAGAAGAAAACAAGTAAGAATATCAGTAAGGGAGGATGAGTCTTTGGACAACCCTATTTCATATTTCCATTCATAACTTTCCCATAAGCGGTGAGAGCATGTTGGTAAAATTCAGTAACAATTCAAAGCAGAGAAACATCTCAAACAGGTGAAGACTCATTGTCTAGGTGACTTTGAGGAATAGATGTAAATACAAGTTGAAAGTTAATACAATTAAGTATAAGGTCACAATTTTAAGGACTAATACCACGCGTTTTTGCTAAGGTTTGGGAATTCATTGGAGAAGGCAGAAAAAAAGTAGAAATAATACAGTGTAGCAGTTGATTTCAGTATGATCTACAAGCTAGCAGTGTGATGCTGTCATGAGAAATGCAAGCTTGAGATGCCTGGGACAAGGTACTTCCTGTGGAGTTAGGGAAATAATAATAGCACTGCCAAAACATCATCTGAAATACAGTTCTGGTCAAGCATGTTTAAGAAACATCAATTCTAACCGGAATGCGTGCAGGGAAGGATGGCTATGAATGTCATCAGGAGAATGAAAAATTTCCCTTACAGAAAGAAAGTGAAACAGTTTGTTTCGTTCAACATAACGTATCTTACATTGCAGAGGAAAAGTACAGGAAATAGGGGAAAGAGAAAAAGAATGTAAGTTATATGAAGCTGTCACAAGCACAGATGGGTAGCACACAAGGCCAGCATAGTTAATACATACTAGGTTATCACATAGCACAAAGTCTGTGATGTATTTTATTGCCTTTGGGTTCCCAACACAGGTTACCGGAGGTTCATAACGAAGTAGCAGCTTCTCTCAAATGAGGAAGAAGATCATGCTACTAGAGTGACAGACATTTTTCCATTCTCCTACTAGTCTCCACCTAAGTGCAAAACAGTGCCTCAGCAGCAGTTTCATGATGAGGTTTTCAGTTATAAATCTATCTTCTCTCCTGTCATATCTCCTCTTGTCTTCTGCATCCAGCTACAATTTGTAAACTCAGTGAGGATTTTTAAGAAGGGAGATTAACCCAAGGAATGGCCTCAGAGGATCAGCTTCTAACTCACTGATGTTGTACCTTTGCTTTACTATTTATAATCCTGCATTTCCTTAAATGATAGCTGTTAAAGAGAAAACAAAATAATCAGGTGTTTATTCACAATAGGCAACTACAAGCAAATGCTCTGCTCTATGTGGGATTACTGCTAGCTGGACTCTAGTAGAGTGTGTCACACAACAGTAAAGCCTTATAATTACTAATTACAGAATCAAGAAGACTGAGGGTGACATTCATCAACCCAGATTACCTGGAGATAGGCACTGAAATAGAAATAAAAAGACACATATCTCCAGAAACTGTTCATGTAGCCAGGAATGCAAATACAAGAAAACAGAGACTTGCACAGAACATCCCAGCCCAGCCCCATTCTCTTCCGGGCTACCATCACAGACCCCAAACTACCCTTCAAGAATGGCAGTGGCAGCAGTCAGCAGGATTTTGGCATACTTGGCCCCATTCGGTGCCCCTCTCGCTTGATCCTTGCCGCTGCTTTTGGGGTACGATGTCACTCAATGCATCTGGAAAAAAAAAAAACAGTCCATGTTCTAGAGGCTACAGGGAAATTTAAAAACTAATTTTGAATCACTGCGTTTACAAATAGCGGCCCAGTTTATAGAATTCTTCAGGGAGCTGAACTTCTAACGACAGTTTTAAATACAGTGAAATAGGTTTCAGAAGGAAAAGCAATAGCTGTCCAGAGACTGAACGGTGTGGGTGGGAGCAAATGGCAGTTCTATAAAGCATGAAGCAGCTGCTGCCAGTTTGGCATAGTTATGCAGATATTAGCATATATCACCCCTGAGGATGATTATCTTTCTGTCACGAGCATAAAAGACAGATAACTCATGAGCCAGTTGAATCTCTTTCTCATAAGCAGTAGGGAGGTAATGCACTGATAACTCTTTTGAGGTTAAATATATTTATTCTATGGGAAGGAGCTTTTATTATTATAATATTTGAAAGGGACAGATTTCGTCTGAAATCCTGATTTTTCATTTCTGTGTCTGTTGGGGTTAAGCTTTTTATTATATCTGCATTATGCTTGCCTTAGTAGAATACGAGAGTAATCCAGAGGAGGCGGTGGAAAGAAACACTAGATAAGCATATACATTTCTTTATTAGGCTTTACAGTACAAGTACATACACCTGTTTTCTTTGGGTAGCTACGTGGATGAAAACCTGCCCAGACAGGGGATCAGTAGTACAGACAATTTAAAAAAAGCTCTGTGTTTTGTTCTTGTGGTAAAATATTAACAATCAAGAAATTTTGAGGTGAAAAGTATACAGTAGTACAGTTTTCCTAAAACCCACAAAACTCCCTTTTTTTTTTTCCACATTTAACAGGCAATACAGATTTCTGAAAGGGGTGACAGACAGTTTACGTTGTCGTGAGACCCTGACCATCCCATGTTGAGTGATACTGATAGCACAGCAGGGCCACTTGTGCCGGAAATAATTACTTCAGGACTTGACAAACCAAAGACAGTTCATATACAAAATTCATTAGGAGACATTTGATTATTTTAAGGGATTCACAGAAGCCTACTAGTCCGTAAGTGATTTGTTTTGTGAAATATGAGCAACTCTGAGTCAACCCCTCATTTATTAAGCTAAAGTAACATCTTTAACAGAGGGTTGATTGGGTCCATAGTTAGAGAATTAACATATATCTGCAGTGCTGGAGCCTGCATTTCAGGTTCTTTGACATAATCATGCTGCTAACTTTAAAACAAACTCCAAGAGAAGCATCTATATACAATGACGCCGCAGCTGAGTGAGACAGCTAAAAGCACCAGTGCGATATGTTTTATGGGTCATTTAGTTCCAGTTTGGCTCCCAGGCTCCAGGGACCACTGTTCCTTGTTATCGTCTTATTAATCTAAAACTGCACTTGAGAAGAAGAAAGTAGCAATGCACAGGTTTTTCACTCATTGTGCTGTTAGGTAGCCTTTGTAAGCTAGGTTAATTTGACACTTAATACAAAAGCAATATGTTAAAAAAAAATAACAGAAATTGCCTGACAATTGCTCTTGGGTGCAGCGAAGGCAAGCTGCAGAAAGAGAACTTTCGCTTCACTCACTTCTTTGTGGATTTTGACCTTATACCTAGCAACACACTAAAAATTAAAAAATAAATTTCTCGTCTTCTGAGCTAAAATAAAAAAAATCTGCTTAAAATTCAGATAGAGACTGGTTATTCTAGCTGCTGAACAGCTTTTTCAACTGCAAGGCTCAGAAAGATTCATCCATACAATGCACCACTGTCACTCAATCAAAGTTTTATAACCCACCTTTGAAAGCAATAATTTCCTAAATTCTGTGAAAAGATCAATCTTTTTTCTCTCAAAGTTTATAAATTATCCCCATTACAGCATTTTTTTAATTCAAAGGCATTTAATTATATTACTGGGAAAGCAGATTGAATGGTACCATAAAAGGAAACTAAAACAAAAGCAGTCTGATAGATGTTCTGAATGCCTCATTATAGCAGAGGAGCAGGAGAAAAAAGCATCTTCTCATTCGCTAGAGGCAGTTACAGCCTTAGAGGATATTCTCCAGAACACCAGAGTAATTGTTGTTTTTGGGGACTCAGGTAGCTATCATAAGCAAGTACATCTACCTCAACAGCTCATATTAGTACATCACTTCAGACAATTTGCCTTAAATAGCATAGAAAAAAAATGCAGTAGAATGTCTCAGCAAAGTTCAGAAAGAATGACAGATCATTTATCTCATCAGCGCTTTTCCTGAGTTGTTCTATCCTTTGTAGCTTTTCAACAGTTTTTTATTAAATCCTCCACTCCAGCTTTTTGCCACTTTGTGACTCCCTGTCTAGTACAGTTGTGACTGATAATAGACCAGCTCTGTATCAGTGAAATAAGGATAGTAATCTTTCCATTTTCTGCCATTAGCCATGTTGTTTGATTGTAAAGCTCTCAAAGAAAAGTGTGTTTCTTCCTATTTACATATACAGTAGTTGGGTATTTGCCTCACTTAGCTTAATATTCAGTAGGTTTCTGTCTCTCTCTCCTTTCACAAAGAGCTCAGACATCCGAAGTTCTGTACTTTTGTTAGAGAGAATTTGTCAAGGCTTTTGGTAAGACGACGTTAATATTTATGTTTTCATAAAGCTGCACAAGTTAGAAAAAACAAAAATAAAAAACCCCAACCCCTTCACCACCAAAATCTGCATTCAAAGTCACTGGAAAAAGAAGAAGAAAAAAACTACAGGACTTTACTTTCAATTATTTTTAGGCGGTGTTACCTCCTCTGGTCAGCCATAGGATCCACCAGTGTAACATCAGCAGCTCAGTAAGCATGCTTTATAACACTGATCGGGGAAAGGTATGTGACGCGTGACTCTTCAAGGTGCCCGTCAAAGAAAGGGAGCGTGGATGAGAGGGTTTAGGAGGGAGAGTAGCTAGCAACGCAATAGGGCAAGGAGCAGCAGTGAAAAGGAGAAACGTACAACAGCTTAAAGCTTCCACCTGTCTCAGGTGACAGGAAAATGATGTGACTTTTAATGCAACAGAGACATTTTAGGACATATATCGTGTTAGGGGTGCCACTCTTGAGAATCATGACGTTTTCCACTCAGTTGACAACCTGATGCAGAAAAACATTTCTATTCAAGCAGATAGTTAAGCACGTGCTTAAGTAGCTAGTAATTTCCTATGAAAAAACAACGACTACAGCTTCTGGGTTTTTTTTTTTCATTTTCTCCAGGAAAGTTTTGCTTTAGCTAAAATATTTCAGTTTTAAGAATTTTGATCACTTCAGTATTAAAGCAAATTGACACGAGCTGTCACAGAGCCTCAAGTTTCTTTTCTCATCTACAGTCCATAATCACTAGTTAGACCTCTTTGCTCTTGCCAAGATAATGAAGTGTTTCAGAAAAGTTTTTTAACCGCAAGTACAGATAAAGGAGATGTAGCTTAGCAATGGAGCTTCATCCGCAAGTGAGAAGGGAAACAGAGTTCCTAGGAGGCAAATGGTAACTCACTACACAAGGTTCAACATCGAATGGCCGTGAAATGAAATATTTCCAGATATTTTGTGTAATATTTATTTTGGTGCTGTTCTGGCTTTTTTTCCATTTATGAACAACGCAAACAAAATCTAAAAAGCCATAGATCAGAAATTCTAATTAATGGTGACCTTTTCGCATTAAAAAATTTTCATTCCTCTGACTACTGGAAGACTCAAACAAATGCTTTGCTGCTGCCTTAATTCAGAATGCTATCCTCTTAACTGTCTACAAATAGTATAGTAGCTCAATGTCTGAGATTTAATGAGCATTATCAAATCCTATTCTATTTATTTAATTCTATTTAATCCTATTCTATTCTACTTATCAGTAAAGCTTTGCCACATTTTTCTGTATGAATATCATTGGCTGAACCAAGATAACTGACACCAAAGAAAATTTTGTGCTTAACCCCTGGATATTTATTTTGCTCTAACTCAGACTCTCTTGTCACATAAAACTGATTAAGACTTTAGGATAGGCTTTCACAGTTCCTAAAGTTTCTTCTGATATTTATAATTTATTCTGTTCCAAAAATCATAAGTGAACCACTATTTCCATGCTAATTCTTTTGCCCTTCTGTAAACTGTCATTATTGCAAATGTAGTGGTGGATAAATAAGTTGAGCCCTGTTTGGAAGATGTGAAAGCTCCACGTTCTTTCTTATTTTATCTGAACAAATTCATGCATTGAATATCTGCCCATGGACTAACTGATAATGCTGATGAATCATAGAAAAAAAGGGATTATGCCAAGGTAGGATCACCGACACTGATGCTATTCCCAAAAGACATTTTCTCATGTTTTCAGAAAGGATTCCAGTGGTGAAGATTTCATAAACTCTTACGCATCCAATCTCCAACCTACACAGATTTACAAACAGTGCTCCTGACGTTCAGGATTACTTTACAACCTAATTAGATTTCCAGCAAATTACCCATTTCTTTCTTACCTGTGTTATCTACCTTCTGCTTCTACGTTCACCGTTAGGTGGGAGGGCCAAGGCACTGAACATGAGAAGTCTAAGCATGTTTGGTGTGTACAGATAAAAGAAAACACACAGATGTTGCCAGGCAAATAAACATTTTGGATTTGACCCAGTGTTAAATTCTTGTACTATATTCCTTGCTTTCAACCTCTAAAACTGGGGTCAACAAAAAAATCTGCAGCCAAAAGGGTAAAAACTGGTAGTTAACTGCAAAAATGCAGTTCCTGTCCAGTTCTAGACATCCTGATATCCCTCAGCAGTAGCACTCCAAACACTGAAAAGCAAGAGTCAGGGAATTCTCAAAAAAAGCTAGTGAAATCAAAGACTAAGGGCTGTCTGCACAGGGAGAATACTGAATTACCAGGACAAAACAGTGCCTCACATGACTTTACAATGATTTTAGATCAGAATAATTTCTCTGATTTGGAAGTAATTTAAACAAAACTGAATTAAGACAGTTTTTATTCCAAATGAGAAAGGCCTCTCAAG